TCTGGGCTGGCGCCGGCGCCTGCGGCGGTGGGCGGCGGCGGCGGGGAGCGTCGACGAGGACGACGGTGGAGGTGGTGGTGGTGGTGGGTTGTGGTGGTTGTGGTGGCGGTGGTGGTGGTGGCGGTGGTGGTGGTTGTGGTGGTGGTGGTGTGGTGGTTTGTTGTTGTGGTGGTGGTGGTGGTTGTGGTGGGTGGTGGTGGTGGTGGTGGTGTGGTGGTGTGGTGGTTTGTGGTAGAGGTGGTGGTGGTGGGTTGTGGTGGTGGTGGTGGTTTGGTGGTGGTGTGGTGGTGGTTTGTGGTTATGGTGGTGGTGGTGGTTTGTGGTGGTGGTGGTGGTGCGTTATGGTGATGGCGGTGGTTTGTGGAGGTGGTGCTGGTGCTGGTGGTGTGGTGGTGGCGGTGGTGGTGGCGGTGTGGTGTGTTTTTTTGTGGTGGTGGTGGTGGGTTGTGCTGCTGGTACTGGTGGTGGTTGTGGCGGTGGTGGTGGTGGCGTGGTTGATTGTGGTGGTGGAGGTGGTAGTGGTGGCGGGTTTTTAATGGTGGTGGTGGTGATGGTGAGTTGTGGTGGTGGTGGTTGTGGTGGTTGTGCCTGTGGTGGTGGTGGTGGTGGTGGTTGTGTGGTGGGTTGTGTGGTGGTGGTGGTTGGTTAAGTTGGTGGTGGTGGTGGTGGTGGTGGTACTGGTGGTGGTGGTGGCAGTGGTGGTGGTCGTGGTGGTGGTAGTGGTTGTTATCGTCGCTGCGTCCCCGCCGTCGCCGGCGCCAGCGCCGGCGCTGGTGGCCGCCGCCACCGCCGGCGCCATCGTCAGGGGGTGGGGGGGAGTTTGGATCTCCCCCACTCGGCGCCCGCGGGGAGGGGGGGGGTTGAATCCCCCTTCCCCCCCTGCCTCATATCATCGTCGCTGCGTCCCCGCCGTCGGCGCTGCTGGTGGCCGCTGGCGCCGGCGCCAGGGGGGGGGGTCGGGAGGGGGGGGGGGGGGTTGGGGGGGAGGGGAGTGCCCTTGGTTTTGATTGACGGCGCCGAGTGTTGGGGGGGGCCCCCCCCGTCTCGGAACGCGCCGCCGAATGTTCCCAAGGCAAGCGCCCGTGCAACGCGTTCTCTCCAAGAGATGTTCGGCGCGAGCGCCGTTCCCCCAGCTATGGCGGATCGGCGTGCCAAGACGGGCGTCCAGTCCAGATTTTCGACGTCGAGATTTCATCACAAGATGCACCAACAGAGCTCTAGATCCTTTGCCCAGGGCTGTATTTTCATCCTCGGCCATTTTCTGAGTGTCTCGGGGCCGGCTGAGTGCCCCTGGAGGCCGAACACAGCAAAAGAATCTCTGGCCCCGTCATCGGCCGATCCGTTTTTACAATCCGAGGCCGCCGAGGTCTCGACTGCTTCCCAGAGGGTGCTTTTTCGTCCTGGATATATTTTCGATGGTTCTGGATGCCATTAGCCGGAGCTTGGGAAAAACCGCCGGAAGGTTGTTTGAGATTTGGGCGTCATTTTTGTCACGACGCGAGGGTGCCAGAGCTTGCGTCGAGGCCAGGGGGAAGTGCGAGGGAGTAGGCTTTCTCGGAAGGCGGCGGGGCTTCTCCAAAACCCCCGCGCCTTCCGAGACCGAGACGCCCTGGAAGCCCCCCCCGAAGAGGGGGCGCGAGGGCCCTGGAGAAGCCCCGCTTCCTCCCGAGGAGGCGTTCTCTCGCTTTTCCTCCCCCCGGGCGCGCCGCCGGTGGGGGGTCGGCGTCGCCCCAGCATGCCGAGACTGTGTGTGCGTCGCCCCCCCCGGGGGCGACGAGCGCGCCGGGCAGCCTTGCAGCGTGTGCTTCGTGGCGGGTGCTTCCCAGCCATGCCGCACGGGAAACGAGATGGCGAGATGTGTGTGTGTGTGTGTGTACCACGAAACCTTTGCGCCATATGGTCGGGCCGGGCGCACGCCTCCGAGGGGGACACCTCGTACTGGTGCGGTCTGGCCCGGGTGTAAGATCGAGGCCGGTTCGGGGAGGGTCGCCCTGATATGCTTCGTGGTTGGGTGGATGCTCCTCTGCATCCTGGGGAGGGTACCCTCGGAGGTTCTGTTTATTTTGGCCGACGGAGGGTCTCGCGAGCGTGGTTTTCTCACCCTCCAGGCAATCACGCGCGTTATGCCCCCTCCCCTCCCCCCTCTCCCCCCTAACGCTCCCCCCCTCCACCTCAGTGCGCCCCTGGCACTGCCGCAGTGCGTCTGGTACCAGTCGGGGGTGGGTGGGGGGCGCTGCGTTATGCTCCCTCCCGTCCCCCTCCCCCTCTCCCCCCATAACGCCCGTCCTGGGCGCGAATTTGAGACATGCGCTCCGTGTTTTTGAGGCATGCTCTTCTGGCCTAGGTCCGGCTGTATTGTGGAAACCAATGCCAAGAAACACCCTGCTTGCCTCCAGGGTGCCCTGGGTTTCTCGGGTTTCGATGGCCTTGCTAAGGAACGCGTGACGTTCCTACACCAAACATCAATGGACGTCCTGGGGTTTCAGGTTTGGGCTTCTCGTGGAAGGTTATGGTGTTCCAACCTACTTTAGCTTTGATCGCCAGAGAGAATTTCGAGCACCAATGGAATACCGAAACTGGAGGGTATCACGTGTCGGGCCCTGGGAGGCGATACTCGTTGGCACTTCGCAAGCGTGTCTGGCAGACACTGTCTCGATACTTTTCGGTGTTCTCGAAATCATTTCTGGGATGTGGTCCTCATGAACGATGGGAACAACATAGGTGGAAGATTTCTTGTGGTCGAGCTCCTACTGTATGATTCTTCGGTCCCAGCGTTTTCCTCGATGTCGGCCCCCGGGGCCCGCTTCAGGGCCCTGGGGCCATCTCGAATGGATCCAGGGCAGAAGATTCTGGTCTGGGGCCGCGGGGAGGATGAGGATGATGATGATGATGATGATGATGATGATGATGATGATGATGAGGAGGAGGAGGAGGAGGAGGAGGAGGAGGGAGGAGGAGGAGGAGGAGGAGGATGATGAGGAGGATGAGGAGGAGGAGGAGGAGGCGGAGGAGGAGGAGGATGATGATGATGATGAGGAGGAGGAGGAGGAGGACACGGAAAAGGAGAAGGAAACGGGAAAGGAAACGGGAAAGGACACCGCAAAGCAACAGGAAAAGGAGAAGGAGAAGGAGCACGAGAAGGAGAAGGAGAAGGACAACGAGGAGGAGGAGGAGGAGGCGGAGGAGGAGGAAGGTCTCTTGTGGAGGGCTTCTCGTGGTCAAGCTCCTACTGCCTGTCCTGCGGCGCCCCAGAAGGGGCGTCCGCGGCGCCGATCCCCCGGGCGGGGCCTGCGGCCCCCCTCCATCCCCGCAGGACCCAGAGAGCGCCCCGGCGCGGGCCCAGGCCCTCGAGGCGCGGGAGGAGCTCTGGGCCTGAGTCGGGCGTGTCCCTCTGCGGGAGGAAGATTCCCAAAGTAGCCAAAACATAGTCTGGGGGGTGAATCTTGGCCTATCCTTTGCTATTTTTTGGGGTATTTCTTTTTGATATCTGGCAGTTTTCGCCCAAAAGCCGCCTGTGAGGGGACACGCCCGACCTAACTGCACGCCTCCCAGTTGGGGTCGGAGCAGATGGGGTCGGAGGATCGCGCCGCATCGCCGATGCATCGCCGATGCTGCTCGACGCGGAGCTCCATTTTCTCCACGCCGTCGTCGCCGACACGTCGCCGACGTCGCCGGGGCATCGACGATGCATCGGCGATGTATCGCCGATGCACCGGCGATGCGGCGCGATCCTCCGACCTCGTCTGCTCGGGCCCCATCTGGGAGGCCCCCAGGAGCTCCGCGGGCGCAGGCTGTGGAAGTCGTCCGTGGCGCCGCCGCAGAGGTCCGGGGCAGCGCCAGTCCAGCCCCGATGCCGCAGAGGAGAGGGCTCAGAGGGGTACCCATACCTTAACGGGCGAAGAACGGTATAAGATAAACTTTTTCGCTGTCGGGGGCGCCTGTCCCTGGGCGGCTGGAGAGTTTATACCCTTACGGTGGCACCGTAGGGGTATAAACTTTCCAGCCGCCCAGGGACAGGCGCCCCCGACAGGGAAAAAGTTTATTGTATACCGTTCTTCGCTCGCTGAATACCGCTACCCTCTGTCCGTTTTCCCCTTTCCGGGCCTCCGGGGAGGCCTTCGTCGCCACCGCTGGACTCGCCTCGAAGTTCTGGTCCGAACGCACCCTGGGAGAGGTCTGGGGAGTAGCGGTATCGGGACCTTCTGGTTTCCCCGAGAGCGGCATTTACATAGACGTAGCACCCCGCAGTTGCGGATAAGAGTGATGGAGGCGGGCGCGGGGTGTCTCGCGGGTCCAGCGCCCCCAGATGTCGAAGGAAGAATGGCATGAACATGTTTTCCCGACGCTCCGCGCGGACTTTTCGGATCTGCGCACGCAGAACGGCATAGGCATACAGTTTCGGCACTCCGCGCGGATGTCCGGGATCTGCGCAGAGATGTGTGCTTTCCCCGTTCGGCCTGCGTCGGCCATCGTCTCACCATCTGCGTCGTTGCACCCCGCAGTTGCGGGTAAGAGTAAGGGGGGCGGGCGCGGGGCGGGTCGCGGGTTGGTCGTGGGTGGGTCGCGGAGTGGGTCGCAGGGTGGGTCGCGGGTGGGTCGCGGACGGGTCGCGGGCCGGTCGTGGGTGAGGACGACGACGACACCAACAACAACGTAACAACAACAACAGCAACAAAACAAACAACAATACCAGCAACAGCAACAGCATCAACAACAACCACCACCACCACAACAACAGCAGCAACAACAACAGCAACACCAACACTAACACCAACAGCAACAGCAACACCACCACCAACAACAAAACCAATCATTTTAAGACTGCTCGATCTTATCTGCTCGAGTGTCATTCAACGTTTATTTCCCGAATCCTCGATACCCGCCCTCTTCGTCTTCGATCGTACCCCTTTTGGGGGGTATATCTTTCTTCCCTGCAGGCCGGGCCCCAGCAAAGGGCGGGGCGGCCGCGGACCGTCGGCCTGGCCAGCGGCAGCGCTGAT